ACACAGTGGTATCAATATTATGAAACCTAGTATTGATATTGGGCGAGCCCAATGGTCTTTAACGTCTAGTTTATTTAAAAATTGCAAAGGTAGTACCGATACTCATTAAAGGTTTACTGATACTCCCTGTTCTGGACAATTTTATTTTTGCATAAAATTCATCCCCAATGGCTAGAAACGGCCACAAACTCATTCCAACATATAAAAATATGTTGAGGATACTTGGAGAAGGTTACAACACCTGTCCAAGCAATAGAGATCAAGAGAAAAGCTCTTTCACTCTTTATTTTTCTATTTTCTCTTGTACATAAGTGTTTGAGTATATTGCAAATCTTTCAATTGTTTTTCTTGTGTGCTTAATTCTTGTAAACACCTACCTTTGTGAGGTTTTTTGTTTACATCTTTTAACCTTTGTAAAAAAAAAGAGTGGTTTTAGTTTAGCCATTGAAAAATTAAGAGTTTTGTGAAAGTTACTCTTGAGCCTAGAAAAAGAAAGAATAAATTAGTGAATTTGTTAAAAAATACTTAGTGTGAAGCTAAGGTAATAGATGTAGACTTGATTTAGAAGTCGAATCTCTATAAATCATTATGCAAATTGTCTATCTCTTTTTACTCCATACTTAAATTTTTCAAAAAGTCAATTCACCCCCTCTTGGCACTTTTTCGGTTGATCAATTGATCTTCATCAATCCTAACAATGTATTTGTTTGATAATTTCAACTGTTCAAATTCAATTTAACAATAAAAAATAAATAAAATGGTAACATGAAACAACCTGTAGTGACGATAACCGGATGAGTTATATACCACGGACACCGCATTCCTGGCCGAGAAGAGACAGTCAATGACCATCATATGACCCAATTCTTATCAACATATGATTAATGCACGCCCATATTTCTTGTTCATATTCCCTGGACTTCCTTGCTAGAGCAACAAGTCTTCTACCACCTGAACAACATGCCGGTGCTGGTCTGCCCCCTCCTTTCAAGAAGCTCACGCACGGCTTAAATGTTGCCCTAACCGCCGCACACGGAAGTGCAGCTGCGATTTCCGTAACATTCCATATGATCACGACTAAGATAATGTTGATTGAGCGAGCCATCCAGTTGTTCCTTTCGCTGATCTTTTTTGTTGTTGCCTTTGAAGCTTATGGATGTGTGTGTATATATATAGGGTAATGTATTTGGTATCATTACTTAGAAATTTGATATAATAATGGGATTTTGAAAATTTAATTTTTTGTCATTTAAAATTGATATAAACAAATAAAGAGTAAAGGTCGTGGGGTTTTCTAATTCTACAAGTAAGATGAAAAAAATCTCATGTATTTTATTTATTTATTATTTTTAAATATCAATTAAAGACCTCTAATGATTATTTAATTTTACTTGTAGAATTATATAGTTATAAATTACCAAGTATTAAATAATTATATAAATATTATATATGATAATTATCTTTTTCGCTATTAATAGAGAAAATCAAGAATGGACCGAGGGGGCGGGTGGGGGCAGCTGCCCCTTAAAATTTTAAATTCTCTTATATTTCTCAATTTTTGTCCCTTGAAATTTTATAAGTTAACTTCTCTCTAAAATTTTATAAGTTTGCCTGCGCTAACACAAAATTCTACATCCTTCCTTGGAGAAAACTATTTAGTATCGACGCTGTGTAAAGTTTAGACTCTATAAAAATGCATATTTGAATGTCATTCAATATATTTGAATAATCTTAAACCCTAAATTTTAAACCATAAGTTCTAATCTTAAACTATAAAATATGTAACTCTAAATCTTAAATAAGACCTATGATATCAATATAATCTCGTCAATATGTTTCCATTATCAATGTATGAGATAATAATACTATATTAAAAGGACATAAGTCAATATGTAACTCCGCTTGTGGAGTTTCTCTTTCTTCTCAATTTCACCATTAATGTACATAATAGTTATCTATATTGTATTAGGCAATTGCTATATGATAAATCAACAATACCAACTAAAAAACTACCCTAAATCTCATTCTTTCTTTCATTTAAGAAATAAAGAATATACATTGTTTCATTTATGATATTTAAAAAAATTATGATGAATGCATGATGAGCTGAGATTTTTTTTTAAAATTCTTATATAACTTAGATTTTTTTATATTTTTTATTGATGATTTAATTTTGTATCCCTAAAATTTTAATATAGTTTTCTAAATTTGTATCCTAACTATCTTTTATGTATGATATTAGCCTTTGGAGAGGTCTGTTTGATTGGAAAATAAGTATTTCTTTTGAAGTTTGTTGCAACGCAAGTCTCGTGATTGCATGGTTTTTGCATGTTAATGTTGATGTAAAGTTACATGAATAGACAGGCCATGCATTTAACTGCCCTTAAGGTCTTAACACATCCAAGCTATATTGCTAAGGCCAAATTTGTATCCTAACTATCTTTTATGTACTATATTGCTAAGTTATCTCAGTGGTTTAAGGAATGTTTGTTATCCCAAGAGATTTTAAGTTCGGGCACCATAAATTATAAGGATGTTGAGCCTTCATTGTCAAATCATTGTTATAATCATTATTCATCTAGGGTGATTATCAGGTAATATTTATTCTAAAAAATTTTAATAATTTGATAATGAACGCTCAACATCCTTATAATTTATGGTGCTCGAACTTAACACCTCTAGAGATAACAAATATTACTTAAACCACTGAGATAGCTTAGTTTGTGCTAATACAAACTATTAAATAAGTATTAAATATAGTAAATATTTAGAAGTTTAAGTGGTATTTTAATTATCGATCTCGTACAAAAAAAATAATATTGTTCATATGCTGAAACATATCTATTTAGAAGTTTGATTTATAAAAATATTTTTTAAATTTAATCTTTCAATTTATCCAAACAAAATACACTAATAGAAATGCTTTTGCCTCTAAAGAAAGTCGAAAATAACTTGATATTTTATTTAATGCAATCAAATACAAGGGCTTTAATATAGATAATTTTATGTAAACATCTATGTCCAACGGTCCATCTTTAGAGCTTCATATTTATTAGCCATACTACTGCGGTTGACATTTCTCAACTGTAAATCTTCACAACACCCTGCAAGCAGTCGTTAAAGTTTAATATCGATTCGAAATAATAATTATATCATTCGATTATATTAATTAAAATACCCGAATTTAATTTGTTTGGTAATTTGAATTTCTTGAATTCGACTCACGGCATACAAAGAAGAGAATGGTTACTTGGAGTGCTATTAGAGATGACATAATCGGGCAAGAATAGGGGGTCGTTGATGATGATGTGGTCCGATTTCCGCCACCATTCCTAAAATGCACTCCAATATGTCTCGTCCTTTTTCCTGGGACGTCTTTGCTAGGGTGACGAGTTCTTTAGCACCCTGACAACATCTTGGTTCGGGTTTGTCCCTACCTTCCAAGGCGGGTCTGCCCTTGCGTTTCAAGAAGCTCATGCAGGGGTAAAACTTCGTCCTGACCACTGCACACCTAGGTGCGATTGGTGCAGTTGGTGCTGTTGTTGCGGTCTCTACAATATCCAATACGATAATTAAGACACACGTAGCTAAAATAATGTTGATCGAGAGACCCATGGTGGCCATCCGGTTGCTTTGGTTTTGTTTCTTTCGAAGTTTATGCCTTCGTGTGTGTATAAATAATCAAACAAAGAGAGTAGAACGCCTAACATAAGACATGCCTAAACTTCAGTTGCACCACAAAAGGAAACAGTCCATTGAAAGAGCAATTCACCCACCTTAGGCATAGCCTTAGCCCACGGACAACGTTCTTTATATATATATATAACATAAGAAGAAAAGAAATCCGTCACTAGGTCATATTAAAATTATCTACGAACGTCATTATTTTTGTTAAGAATACGCAACAACTCATCAAAAAATTAGAAAAAATTATGATATCCAAACGGATAATTCCATACTAATTTAATTATACCGTCAACCCAACATCCATCACCATTAGTGACTGATGTAGGTATTGCTTAAGGTGGGTATATGTCCACTTCATATGAAAAATTTATAATATTAATATACATTGTTCATCCTTGAAAAATTTATAGATCCATCATGGACATCTCTAACTGCACAAAAGGCTACGTTTTTTTTATTATTAAGCTAAAGGTGATTACAAAGTAGTATTCGTTCTAAGTATTCTTAACCATTTGACAGTGAACGTCAAATCACCCTAATAGTCGTTGGTGCTTGGACTTGTGACCTCTAAGAATAACAGTTATTCCTTTAACCACTGAGGTAAGTTGGTTAATGCAAAAGGCTACGTAATTTAGTTGTTCGATATCAACTAATCACAAATAAAAGATGACACTAACTCCAAATTATAGATCATGTTTAAAAGTTGGGTAAATTACACTATGACTACTTAATTGTGGGAGATTTTAATCTGACCACTGATCTTTTAATTTCATCAATCAGGTTACTTAATTATTTAAATAATATCAATCAAGCCACCTACCATAAGCATTTGACGAAAGAACTGACATGATAATTAATAAAATTGATATAATTATACATTTAATCTTCATTACTTACACATTCTATCAATTTAGTTCTAATTTTATTTTAATTCAATAAATTTAAAAGTTATTGAATTAAATAAACTAAAAATTAATAGAAAAATCCTCACATTTAGGTACTAAAAGTTCAATTAGACCCCCACATTTTAAAACAAGTTCTCAATAAGTCCATCAAACTTTTTTTTTTGAAAATTTCGATTAGAACTCCAAAAGTTTTAAAAGTTTTGATTAGACCCTCCAATACACTTTGTGGTATAGTTTGGTCAAAGAAAAGGGCATGAGGAACGAGAAGGGTAGATAAAAGAGAAGGGTCGTTGAGAAACATGTGAAAAGATTCACCCAAATAAACATTTTCTACAATTTTTTTCTCACGTAAAATCACCTTTATAAATGGTTGCCAAGCTTACCATCACAGCAACAAAAGAATGCTAACCCAAAATGAAAATCAATAGTGTTCTTTTCTTTCCTTTGAAATTTTAAAATTAAAAAAAAAACCAAGAAACTTAATCGTACATACATATTTTTGTCTTTTAAATGTGAGGTACATGGTCCTAAAGTTGGGTTGATATAGAGAATGGGAAGGGCTCCTTGTTGTTCAAAAGTTGGGTTGCATAGAGGTCCATGGTCTCCTAGAGAAGACACATTGCTCTTCAACTACATTCAAGCTCATGGTGAAGGTAATTGGAGATCTCTTCCTAAGAAAGCAGGTAATTCCAATCATTGGGATCATATTATTTGCATTTATCATTGTTATATACACTTTTATCAATATTTTAACTAGGGATGATTATAACTCGAGTTAGGTTTTTGGTCCACTTGAATTTAACCTAAACATAGTACCCGTCCACACATCATCTGACTCAACTCGGGTTTAGGAAAACTTCACCCGATCCAATATCTGACCTTTTTTTAAAGTAAAAGCTCATACCTGACTCAATCCGACCTGGCATAAATATATATTAGGTACAATAGAGACTTAATTGGGAAAAATATAAAGATAGGAGTAATATAGTAATCACCACTAAAGATATAAAGGTTAATTATACTACTATTCTCTGATCAAATCTGATATTTTTCATTATAAATTTAAACCTAGCCCGAATCCAAATTTTCATTATAAAAAAACTCCACCCTATAAGATCAAACCTATCAAGTTTGGGTCAAATATCCAGTTTTAATTATAATGGTAGTGACGGTTATAAGTTCAACTCGACAGAATGAAATTCCGTCACTGTTTGATGTTTCTAATTAGTCCGTCATTATATATTTCTGTCACAGAAACTTAATTTTGAGATTATTTAAATCCAACGAGACACTTAAATAGTTAAATTTGCAGGACTACTTAGGTGTGGAAAGAGTTGCAGGCTGCGATGGCTGAACTATCTAAGACCTGATATCAAGAGAGGGAACATAACTCCTGATGAAGACGACCTTATCATTAGATTACATTCCCTTCTCGGAAACCGATGGGCCCTCATCGCCGGCCGGCTCCCGGGTCGAACCGATAATGAGATAAAAAACTATTGGAACACCCATCTCAGTAAGCGACTTACAAACCAAGGAACCCATCCCAACACCGTAAAAAAATCATCACCGCCGCCACCACCGATAATAGTTGAGGTTTCAGAGAAACCCAAAATTCATCTCCCGAAACCCATTAGGGTTACCGGCACAACTTCATCGTCTTTACCGAGAAACGACAGCTTCGAGTTGGACCAATGCAACACGATCAGCACAGTATCAGAATTTGTCAATTTCGGAAACGACGGTGAAAAGGTAGCCGGCTTTCTCGTGGACGACGGTCGTGGATTTGTTAACGGGTCGGATTTAGAGTGGCATTCCAATTTTCTTGGAAGTGAAGATGAGGGTTGTTGTTTGGAGAGGGATTACGAAGAGTATTTGCAGGTTCTGAAGACAGATGACGATGATTCGATGCAGGTGGATTGGCTCGATGAATCATTACTGATTTGGTAGAAAAGAGGAAAAAGACGTGTCGCGCATGTCATTTATCACGTGTATGTGCATGTAGAGTATTTGATGGTTTAATTTTTTCACTTAATAAAGTTGGTTGCATTTTATTTGAATCTTAGGTTTTCACGTGCTTACCTTCCACCCACATCATGTACTTTCGTTATGTCAACAAGCTTTTCTTATTATTATTGTAATAATATACTAGAGATAATAATGGTAGAGATAATATAAAAATAAAAAATGATGATACTCTCACGTTCGAGAACGGATGTACACAGTTAATAACTAACATTATTAAATTAATTTATAAAATATTAAACGTATAATTATAAATTAATTAAAAATTTAAATGTAATTTAATAAAATACAATATTTATAAAACATTAGTTTTTAGGGTAAACTATATCATTAACTACCTAACTATTTACCTCTCTTTTACTTTAACAACTGATTTTTCAATTTTATCAATCGGGTCAGCTAACTATTTAAATCTTGTCAATCAAGCCAACTGTCGTTAAATATTAATGGAGGGAATGATGTGGCAGTTAGTAAAATTTGTATAATTACACATTTAGTCCTCATTACTTACACATTCTATTAATTTACTCCTAACTTTTATTTAATTTAATAAATTTAATCATCAATCTATGGTGACATGTGTCACTATGTGATGAGATTTTTTAATATTTTTATTTAATTTATTTTCCATTAAATCAAATGATACCACGTGTCACCAATTGAATGAATGAAAAATAAATTTAATCAATAACCACTGGTGGTGGGGTTTAAACCTAGGATGCAAGCCGAAAAACTTAGCACCCTAACCACTAAGCCAAACCACTTAATTTGTCTAGTATACATAACATAATCTATATGATTTATAATATAGTTAATGGTAATAAATGACCCTAAAAGGACTCAAACATGAAATAATTAAATAATATGAAAATATAAAATATATATAAACAAATATTATAATTGATTAACAAATGAATATGTTTTATTTATATTTTAAATCACATTTAATGACAAAATTAAAAAAAGAATTTAATATGTTATAATTGAAATGTATCATTTTACATATTTTAAATCAATATATTGTCTTCATTATTCTAATTTTATTGAATTGAAATGTATAATATATTATATTTTAAAATATCATAACGTCAGTCGGGTTTTAATCTTATTTAACAATTCTATATTGAAATAGACTAATTCAATAAAATCAAGTTTCCCCTAAAATTTTCTTCAAATATATAATGAATAAATAATAAAATATAAATTTTTTACTCCAACCGGGATATAAACAAGTCAATACATAAGTTAAAATGCATAATACGATAAACCCTCAACTATCAGGAAAATTCTAAGTCAACGAAGCTCTTCATTATATTTCAATTATAATATCTAAAATTTTTTTTTATTTTTTTCATTAAAATGATTTAAAATATAAATAAAATGCATTCACATATTAATTAGTTATAATATTTGTGTGTGTGTATATATATATATATATATATCATATTATCATATTATTCACTTATTCCATTCTAGAGTTCTTATTATGTCATTTTCCTTTCTTTTTTTATTGTCATTAACTATATATATTATGTCGTGCTAGGTTTGTCATTTAAATGATGCAATCCATTGGTTGGGGCATTAGTTTCTTTTCCTTGCGTCTTGGGTTCAAACCCCATTAGTAGCGGTTATTAATTTAATTTATTTTTTATTAATTCAATTGGTGACAAGTGACACCGTTTGATTGGATGAAAATTTTATTAAATTAAATAAAAATATTATGAAAAAATCAAATCACATAGAGACACATATCACCATCTGCTTGAGGATTAAATTTATTGAATTAATTAAAAGTTAGACCAAATTAATAGAATGTGTAAGTAATGAGGACTAAATGTGTAATTATACAAATTTTGTTAATTGTTATGTCATCTCCTTCGTTAATATTTAACGACAGGTGACTTGATTGACAAGATTTAAATAGTTAGGTGACCCATTTGACAAAAATGAAAAATCGGTGGTTAAAGTGAAAGAGGTAAATAGGTATAGTATAATTTACCCTAAAAACTAATGTTTTATAAATATTATACTTTAATTAAATTACATTAGATTTTTATGTCATTTATAATTATATGTTTAGTACTTTATAATTTAATGTTTTATAAATTATTTAACGGTGTTCATCTACGCTCAACGAGCGTTGTATTATTTTTCAAAAAAAATCACATATAAAAGATAATTTTTTTATTAATATTGAAAATAACAATAGGATTACAATTATATGCAACTTTAAAACTTAATCAACTAATTTTTAATTTTTAAAATTTATTTATAGAGATAATTATTTAATTATAAAATAAATTTATGTAGTAAGAAACTTTTTAAATTAAATTTCATACTTTAGTAGAAAAAATATAATCATGTACGGATTTATTATGTATAATAAGATTCATGTTTGATAATCTTTACTCATTTTTAACATCATTTGTCTTATTTATGATTTAGATGTTAAAGTATAAGATTTAAAGTTTAATACTATTGTTTTAGATAATTTAAAGGGATTTGGTGAATAAGGTATAAGATAGAATTTTTCTCACTTATTACTACTTAATAAATTCAAATTTATTGTATTTAACTTATGGATATGACATAAAATCGAACGTGATCAAATGTAATATGTTAAAAAATTTAAACTCAAATGAGTTAGATAAACATGTCACGATGTAGAATAAATTAATGTTATGACGTTTAATTATTATTTTTTTCATTTATAAAAATAATCATTTTACTTGCTTTTCTTACGTACGATACAATGACATATACCGTACTTTTACCTCGAAATGCTTTAAAACGGCCCAATAGGAAGATCCATTAATTTAAGTCCAATCCAGGATTCAAAGTTTATATCCGTACCGTTTTTTCTTCTTTTCTGAACTACTTTGAATATAATGATTTGGCGCGTTGCTTCCTATATATATACCAAGAGCTTGCAAGTGTTCCATTTTCAAAATCAATTGAAAAAAATGAGGAAGCGATTGAAGAGAACGAAGGGAATTTGCAGTTGCTCTTCTCCTCGTTGCACCAATCACTCTACCTTCCATTGGTAATCTCTCTCTCTCTCTCTCTGATTTGAAGCTTCGTCAATTTGATTTCTCAATCTTTCTTTTTTTCTTGCTTTGAGATTTTGAGATGGTTCAGTTAATTTTGATCTAACATCAGTTCGAAATTTAAGTTTAATGATGTCATATAAGTGACTATGAATGTGGAATCTGAAGAAATGAACGATGGATCAAAAGGAATTTGAGCTGATTCAGTAAATTTTGATATAATATCAGTTCGAATTTAAGTTTAATGAGGTCATGTAAGTAACTATGAACGTGAAATCTGAAGAAACGAACGAGGAATCAAAAGGAATTTGAACTGATTCAGTTAATTTTGATATTTTTTCCGATAAGTTAATTTTGATCTTATATCTGTTTGAATTTATGTTTAATGACGCCATATAAGAAACTATGAAAGCTGAAAATGAAGAAACTAACGATGATCAAAATGAACTTTAGCTGCTTCAGTTTCAGTTGATTCAAATAAAACAATTCATCATGGATCTCTTTTTTCGTTTATGATACTAGTTTTAACTGTTCAAAGTTTCGCTGTTCGTCCTTGACATTAATCTCCCTTCGGTTAATTCTGCTACTCATTTGTTATACCGTAAGTTAAATATTGCAGCATTTCTAGTTTGTACTTGTAGATTTTTGCTCAAAACAATAAACAGATCTCTTAAATTTTCATTTCTCACATTAAATTTTGTGTAAGTGATTGCTCTTAATCAAGTTTATATATATCATTTGCTTTTGTTTTCTCAGCAAGCAAACAGTTATTATTTGTTAAATTTATACCATATGGAGTTGGTTAAATTAACCATCTCTTATTCATATATGCTAAAAAAGGTATGAGCAGGATCTGTGGACATACATAGCCAGGTTTTTAGATGGACGATCGCTGGTGATGCTGGGAGCTACAAATAAATGGTTCAACAGTGTTATCATGCAAGAATGTATATGGAAGTTCACATGCTTGAGGGAGCTTCAGGTTCCTGATCCTGGTCACGTAGCATTCAGTTGGTCAAAGCTCTATGGTTCAGTTGTTGGTAAATATCAAATCTTTCACGTGTGCGCCTTAACTGTTTGATATTGAAATTCCAATGGGTTTTGCAGATGGAAGTCACTCCTACATTTTCCGGCAGCAGGAGAAACATATTGGTTAGTTGTTTATGCTACTTGAATTCGGGTTCGGACGCTAATATATATATTTGCATCTGAGTCTTACACAAATGTTAAACAAAGTCTTCAACAACCCATTGCTTTGTTAATAGCAAGAAGTTTAAAGCTAGGGTGAACAATTTGTTGTATGCATTTGAATTGATCGTTAATTTATAATGAGATCATCAGTTACTGATTTAGTTTAAGGACAATTTGCTAGTGACTGTATGTTTTTTCAGATTGGATGCGGATTGGGGCATTTTCATTCGATTCAGAAGTAGCATTTATTTGTGAAAGGATGGTGAATCCACCTGTGAAAATCCCAAAACAAGGAAACATAGATGATATGTTACAGTCTAGCGGCTCATGTCTGCTAAGGAATATCAAGACCGGAATCTGGATAGCTGGTACAGTTCAAATCCTATAAAATTTTGCCTCGCATTTTAGCTATCGTAAGATGGAAGCATGTTCTGTATGTAAGTTGTGATCATTTCCAACTAAGGTCGTCTTGATTTTTTTCTCTAGATTTACAACTTGTTCGATGCCCGGTGTGTGACCAAGAAAAATGTGAAGGTGAGCATTGAAAATGACTTACTGACCATGAAAATGCAGAGTACGAGATCCCTCCCCCCTCTCCTCTTATTTGGTAGATGAGATTCTTGACAAGTATACAACGAACATGCAAGTGGAAAATACTTTTAGAAGAGTTTATAAAAAATCTTTATTCAATTTAACGATTACACCAACGATAACTACAAATTTATTTTTAAAGTAAATATTATTCTATGACACAGTTAAAGTATAAATCCTTTTTATTTTATCAATTTATTTATTCAATCGGTATTATTGATTTGTTTTACTGTAGTAATATTTCCTACTCTAAATCATCAAACTAAAATGGGCGATGAGTAAGAAGATTTGATTGTTTATGTAGGAACAATGCAGATGTTAGATGCAAGGCATATTGAGCTGTTCCTTAATGAGGGTTACCAGGATGGGAGTTGGGACTATGAACTCGTTGGATCTCATGAAATCAAAAAGACCGTACGAGGAGCTTATGGGGCCATCTTTGACTTCAAATACCTCACAACCAAGTCAACATCTGGTAAAACTTTAGTCTCCACCTAAAATTTACTCACTCTTCACTAGTGGCAAATTTATAAATATATATAAATTTTTTATACGAGACGAGCATAAATAAATTTTCAGAATAGGCACAATCAATAAAATAAAAAAACTAATCAGCCAAAATTTAGATTTTAGGATAAACATATATCCACCCGAGTAAAGTAGACATTCGCCACTTCTCGTCATTATTTTCTTCTTAATAATGCATTTCCATTAACTAACCTTTCTATCATATCTGAATTTGGGTATGCGTCAAGTATGTGTATTTTCGATACCAGTATCTTTTATTTGAATGTAGATTATAAATCAAACATTGTAATGGTAAAAATAAGACAGAGCCTATGCCTAAGGATCTGATTTACCTTTTGCCAAATAACTCAACAGGGATCTTTGATTATAAGTCATGGATAGGACAACCCAATGACTTTCAACCAAAGGCAATAATTGCTCTTCATGCAGTTGCAGTCAACACCAATTTACAAGAAAATCAAGGTAACGAATCCACAATCTACCATTCGGTTATATATATATATATAACTAAAGATCTACGATGTAAAATTATTTTAATTTTATATAAATTTAATATCGTTAAATAAGTAAAAATAAATGGTTGTGATTAATTTTTGTTTTTTCTAATTAATATCTTCTCATTTATTATTGTTAATCTTATTTGTGTTATTTGTGTATAATTTATACCTTTATATAAATTTTGAAATATATGTATTTTTTTTCTCTAAGAAGCAGGAGTTCTAATAAAGTATCATGCCATGAGAGCTGGAGCAGAAAAGGAAGTCGTTTCAATTAGAATCTCTCAACAGCTCCTTTGAGCCACATATAACATCGCTTATTTTCTCACCATTAAATTGGTTTGTTCTTATTTCTTGTCCTTGCCTTTCCCTTATACATAGTAGCAGTTAAAAAATAGCTCAAAATCATAAGATTTGTTTTGATATTGATTTTGGACTTCAACACGTATTATAACCTTGTTTTCATTTGCCAGGGGCAAAATTAGTATTAAATATAAGAGCAAAGTATATTAGAGGCCATGAACTATGTCTAAATAATCATTTTAGTTATTAAACTATTAAAAATTATGAAATAATCATTAAAATTATCACCACGTCGTTATAATAATTATAAATTTTTTTAATATAATTTAATAATAATTTAATAAATTTAATAATTATTTTATAATTTTCAAAAATTAAATGACTATTTGAATATAATTCAATGTTTCATAAATATAAATGTAAAATCATTGTTAAAAAAATGTACTCAAACTTATCTGTAAGTTAGTAATGTGTGAATTGTTGAATGGTACATTGCTCTCGAGTGTATGAATTATACTTAATTTGTGAGGACAAAGTACAAATAATATATATTTTCAGGTAAACTTTTTAATATTTAAGACCTATTTACTCATTTCATTCGGCCTTGGCATATTAATTTGAAGCTTGAGAATGTGGCAATGCAGTCAAGTGGTTAGCCTATACGTGCACGTAACTTCCATAATGATTTTTCTCATTTTAATATTATAATATGCCACGAATCATGAAATCACGAGGCTTGCATTGCAACAAATTCGAAAAAACTGAATTAACTTTTAATTATCATTTTTATCAAATTTGTTGTTATTCTGTCGGTAAAATAACACGGGTAAATTACACATTTAGTACTTCAATTATTATTTTTGTTCTATTTTGTTCATTTGACTTTTTTAAAATCATACCTAAAGTTATATTTTAATTTTATTTTGGTCATTCATTGTTAAAAAATTAATAGAATAACTGACGTGACATTCTTTTCCAATGATGATGGGCATTGTCTTATGGTGACACATCAACACCGCCATTATTTTTTTAACAGCGGTGACAAAAATAAAACCAAAACTAAACGTTAGATATGATTTCGAAAAAAATAGTTGGGTGACCAAAACATAATAAAAGTGATAGTTAGAGTACTAAATATGTAGTTTACCCACATAATATTTTAGCATGTATATATTCCTAAGCTTACAAGGAAAACGTCATTAAGATAAAAGGAATAAAATCAGACTGTGCACACAATGTATCTCACAATCAAACATGTAGCCATGCTCCTCTTTGTAACTACGTCGACTCTGACAGAAATCGCAGTGGCAGCACCGTGTGGTGATGTTATATGGGCAATATTGCCCTGCGATGGCTTCCTGAACGGCAAACCGTCTCTGAAACCGAGATGTTGTTCCGGTGTCGGCAGACTTGCCAAGCACATGAAGAGCAAAGCAGATGAAGAGGCAGTGTGCCAGTGCCTTAAATTTGACAGATTTTGATTCGATCTGATTTTGTTAGATTAAATTTTTAAAAAAAAAAGGTTTAAGTTGAATTTTTCAGAATATAAGTTCAGGTTAAGTTTAAAATGAAAAATACATGACTCAATCTAATCCGAAAATAATATAATTATACTTTATATATATCGGGATAATTATAATAATATATTTCTCTATATATATTTTCAATTAAATCCCTATTTTATCGAATATAATTAAGAACTATATATATATTTGTGTCGGGTTGGGTTCAAGTTTAAGGTAAAAAATATTCGACCATGTCAGAAAAATAATGTGATTATACCTTATATACTTAAGGATAATTGTAATAATATCATTCTCTATATATTCTAGATCTCTATTTTATCAAATAAAATTAATATATATATTTATTTGTTTGTTTGTACTGAGTCGGGCGGATTAAGTAAAAGTTTCATCTCAAAAGACAGATTAGATTTCGAGTCGAGTAAAATCACCCTAAATATATGTATAATCAAATTTTGAATAGAATATTTTTATCAGGTCAGGTCGTTAGTTAACCAAAATCCGACCATGTTCATCCCTGGCATCAATAATCCTGTGGCGATTTCAAGAACAACCGAGTCTCATGCACTGGTCAGCACCCGAAACACACGGGAAGAAATTACCGTTGCTCTAGTGAGAACCAGCAAGAATCGATCTCACATGATTTCGCCTTCTGTTATTAATCTTCTCGAAAATCACCGTCTTCTGTTATAATGTTTTGGATTAATATTTACTTTAGTCCTTAAAGAATTTTAATTAATTTTAAATCCTTAATAATTTACATATTACACAAATTAAACCTTCACAACGCGATGAAACCAATATCTTCACGTAGCTTCAGTCATGGATTTTCTTATCCTAGTATTCCCAGAACTCACGATATTTACATTGCAGCAACCTCAAAATCACTTGTTACAACTTGTCTCGATAATAACATTCAAATCTAAATTAATTAATTAATGAAATACAAATAAATAATTGCATTAATATATATAGCTCCTTTGTTACTTACAAAATTATAGTGATCAAATAGATGATTTAAGTATAATTTAGTGAACATATGTTTACTTTATCCTTTATTAAATATAGCTCGAAGCACACGTGAAAGTGTCAAGGTTCAAATATATAAAAAAATTAAATTAGTATCTTTTTGGATATAAATACCCATACAAGCTATATATTCATAAGCTTAAACTGAAACCACAATAAGATAAAAAGAAACAAAACTGATTAGCTATCATGCCTCCCTCAATCAAATTTCTAACCATGCTTGTCTGTTTAATTACGTCCGATGTTATGGAACCTTCGGCAGCGTATCCGGCCAACCGGAACTTACCGGGTGGCCGAGCCCTTCTGGAGGAGGCGGATATTCCAGATGAAACCCGATTTTCATGTCTCGATGTCGCTACCTTACTATCGCCTTGCTGGAGCTTCCTAAAGGCCGGAGGTTCGCCGACGTCGGAATGTTGTATAGGTGCTGAAAACATTGCCGACTTAACAAATTCCAAGCAAGATGAACGTAAACTATGCGACTGCCTTAAAGGAGAATTGCCAAAGATTGGGCCATATGACCCTAATAGACTGCCCCTACTAGAACAGAAATGCGATATTGAGTTTTATATTCCTCCCATTACCGCCACTACAGATTGTTCCAAGTAACCATTCTCTTCCCATCTTCTATTTCATCTTCTAAAAATAATATCAAAATTAACCCCCAACATTTGTCAAAACGGTCATTTTGACGTCTATTTTTTTTTCAAGCATTTTGGTCCTCCAACATTTCATTTTGGGGTAAAAACATCCCTCTATGGATAGAAACTATTAGTTAACAAACGGTTAACGCTCCAAATGAGATGTTGGAGGCCAAAATGATCCAATAAAAGATTAAGGATCAAAACGATTATTCTGAAAAATGTTGGGGACTAATACCAAAATGTCAAGAGATTAAAATTGTAAACTTTAAACTCTAAATGGTGTAATATATATATATATATGGATTAATTTTGCAGGGTGTGAAGGGTTATGGTTGGAAAAGTTGAGATGAAGAGAACGTTGGATGAATAAGAAAGCCCAAATAATGAGTTAGACATTCAAGTAACGATGCTCCGTAATTTATTTCGAAATTATCGATGATCAGTCATTTGTATTTGATTCATACGGAATAAAATTTCAAGTTATTTTCAAAATATTTTCTCCTTAGATAAATGGTGTAATTATTAGTTAATTCAACTCAAGCTACAGTATACTAATGAAAATTATTCTCATTGGATTGATAATTCTCCTATATTTATTTTATGTTTAACTCTCATTACATGTAACTCATGTCCTAATATATTTTGATTCCAAGTTTTAGTCAGTTTTTATTTTGTATCGATTTTATCTTAACTATAATTATTTATTATTTGTAACTGTAGTACAATTTTACTTTGTAAACGTCCATAAAAATTATGTAACTTTTGTCATTCCAAATGATAAGGATTCAAATACTTAAATGTGAGTACTTGATCTAATAAGTTTAAGTGAATGAATTAAATTAACGATTTATATTTTGTTTATTTAATTTAAAAATAATTAAACTGACTAAAATGAAATTTAAATCTAAATAATTTTAAATATAATTTTATATAAATTTTATATTTTTTTTATAATTTAACATTTCTCATAAATTTTAACATTTTTAAAAATTTTGGGATTTTATTGTAAAATTTTAGGATTTTTTATATTTAAAATTTAGAGACTATTTCAATTTTTTTTTTCGAAATTTCATTAATTTTAAATTTCATTAAATTAGAGACCTACCAATTATTTATTTTAAAAACTGACAAGGACTTAACGGATATTTACATCAAATTTAAAATAATTTGTTGGAGTTTTGTTTTTAAGATTTAATGCCGATATTTGAAGGTTGAAGAGGAACTCGAGAAAGTGGCAATGGCGGTTAAGTGCTCGACTTATATGTCCAAGTAACTTCATCATGAATTCTATCATCTTTGACATTCTAATATGCCACGAAACATGCAAGCACGAGACTTGCATTTCCAACAAACCCAAAAATCAAACTTGAGTGTAAAATTTTAATCATCTTAATTCGATTGAAACCGTTATTGTTGTAATATCTTAAAGATCATATATCCAGACGTTGTGTGATCTCAATCAAATTTATAGTTGTGCTCATCTCGTCGTTTTACTCGTAACCACATCGCATATTACAAAAACCCGTGCCTCAATGCAATGAGGTTATAGCCTCATTAACCTCCTGCCTGGGCTTCATCAGGCAGTGGAATGCTGATGCAATCCTTGTAAACCAAGTAACGAGACAAGAAAATACACAATGGGTATGCGGATGCCTAGTAATGGGCCATACCACCCTAATCGAGTGCCTCTTATAGGCCGATATCAACATTTTAATTCCTCCTATTAGTATCGACACTGATTTGTTCCACGTAATCATTCTCTTTCTTAATTTTTAATTCGATTTATTTCTTGTCAAACAACTCATTATCAACAAAAGATTTATACTTATGTGTTAGATTATTAAATAGAGTTTTTTATTTAAAGATTATGTTGAAGTACGAGAAAAGTAATATTATAATATTAATAACCAATATTAAAGAAGTATTTTAGCCACTTATATCGATAATGTTAAAATTTTGGGTTAGGTACCCGCCCCAAACATCCCTAAAAGGCTTTAAGCTTACCATATTCTGTCACGATGTAGAGAAGACCAGAGCTCTTGCCATTCACCAACACTCTCTTCGATTTCGATAGAAATGCGTGTGTAGGAAGTAATCAGAAAACATCATTTTTTTACCATAACTATTTATGTATTAACAGGGATAAAACGTTCTGAGTGCATACCAAAATGATCAGGCTCCAATTTAGACCGACTAATATAACCAGTGAATGGCATCTTCGGCATCACGTTCATCCTCAAAATAAACAAATGCAAACCCTAAAACATAAACTGAAATCAGAGGCAGAAACAACAGTTTGTATAATTGATACTATACCCACACAAGTACAGGTACATCAGCCAAATCACAGGATTTCTTTTCCCTGCAAGAACTAAGAAAATATACAGCGCCTGCATGAATGTGAGGGAAGGGCTGATGCACATAAGGATGTAGAAGCGATGCATGATGCACTAAATCAAGATGGTGGCATGTTAAAAATTAGAATCCAAGTTTTCAGGGTCCAAGACATTATTACAAAGCATAATTCACCATTCAGACATCAGGAGTTCAGAAATTGAAGGCATGGCATGACAGATTTCGGAGTTCCTCTATAATCAGTGGTACAAGGCATGACATGATAGTTTGATAGGCCAGCACCAGCCAGTGATGATGGTGAGTAACATATACGAGTGAAGAAAATGCAGGATGATGCCATCTGTGAGTGGCAGGACAGTAGACAGGCAGGCAGGATTTTTTATTTTTTTTGCAGGAAGTTGGTGAGCCCATATAGAAGCTCATTTTCCTTCAGAAGTTCCTGCGCCAAAACAAACACTTCAAATACATGGTTTTCTTCTGTAAACTGGAATCCTTCAGGTGTCATTTGATTTCTCCCAAATAGTGTGACCAGATATACAAATCCACGTAATACATCTGACATCCAATTTCAAAAACAATGACTGTTTAACAATTCTGTACATTCAAAAAACAATTCACATGCATCCTCGAGACATGATAGAAGCCAGACTACAGCTCAAGAAATCACCACTAACATTCTCCACATTACAATAGCTTCACGTCAGTTAAAACATTATTAAAGAAAGGACACAAAACAAGGTCGCGAGGTTCGAAGGACAACCTAGCATATGAGTAATTCTTATTTACCACAAAAAAAGGAAATACATTGATGACAAGTTAGCCATTTGAAGAGAAAAAACAAAAATTGTAGACTCCACGGGCCTATTCGTTATGAGAGAAACTCCATTGGAGTAAAGTGGGAAACAAATTTGACGAGAAGCCACCATTTGCAAGTAATCCAGATTCCAGAGCATTAATAAAGAATATATTAAATTAAAATAAATTTAGTTCTCCAATCGAATGACGACACATGTCATGACATGTGTCACCAATGACACATGTCACCTCCTGATTTGATGATTAAATTTATTTTAATTTATTATAATTATGACCAAATTAAAAGAATATATAAGTAACAATAACCAATTGTATAATTATACCAAAATATTTTAACTACCACGTGACCTATTTCGTTAAATGTTAACGGCATATGGCTTAATTGAATCATTTATATAGTTAGGTGGTCAAAATAATTTTTGACCATAATTGAGTGGTCACCCGTATAATTTACAAAAAAAAAACCTTTTTTTTTTGAGGTTGACAAGTTTACCGTCCATCTTTATGGCTAGATAATGAAATCCAACACTATAATCTACACATCAAGATTTCTGGTCCAATAAGCAACCATAGACGGTACCTATTCATACATTTGGAAGGCAAATTAAAAAAGGTTTGGTAATTTTCTTTTCTTAAGAGTCAAATATTAGACCATTAAGTCATCAATTTAAAATTTAAAAATTGAAGCTAAAGGTTTAATTTATTTAATTTTAAAATTAATATGTATCTAAATAATATTTAAGTCAATAATTAGGATGATAACTTGATTTTTATAGTTTTAAAATCAAAAGGACTTTAAAAGTAATTTTACTTAAAATTTTGGGGACGTGGCTTAACTTTCTTATTTTAAGAATTAATAAGGACTTAAAAATAGTTGAACTTTCTTAAATTTTAGCACAAGTGTTAGGCAAATAAACATAGTTTGCTTCAAGATTTATTTTGTATAAAGAAAATAATCTAAAAATCTATAAAATCATTTATGAAGGAAAAATGACAAATGATTTTTTAAATGCAAGAAAATATATAAAATTGAAATTTATTAGTGATGTAGAGAGAATAAGAATAAAATAGTTGCATAAGATTTGGGTCCCATCAGTCTTGGTAGAGGGTACCAATTCCATACATTTGGAATGGAAAAATAAGGATGGTTTTGTCATTTTCTTTTTCTTCAACGGTTGGTGTAACACAACATGTACGGATAAAGTTAATAACTTCTTGGTCGGACTCAAGAAAAAAAATATAAAATGTACAAGGATCACAAATATAATTTCACTATTTTATCCAAAGCTCCTCTTTACTTCCTTTGTATCGACCTTTAATCATAGGTTAGGCTGGGTTGGGTTAGATCAGAGTTTAACCTAATTCGAATATGACTTGAGTATGACACTTTTTTACCCGTCATTCGATTCGATTTAAGTTTAAGAAATTTTATCTCTCTTGAAACTTAGTTCGACTTTAAGATAAAAACTTGTATTCAAATGGGTGCGACTTGACACAAATATATATTTCTCTTTTTTATAAAATAAAATAAGAATTTAACTGAAAAATATAAATATAAGGGTATTTTAGTGGTAACCCTAAATATATAGGTAAATTACTAAATTATACCTTTATGCTTGGATCGATAATCTTTACCTTAGATATGAACTCGACCCATTTTATACTTCAAAACCTCGACATGACACAATCTGTACCTAAATTTTTTAAATAAAAATTTGACTCTATAAGATAAAATCAAATTAAAACTTATTGGATTTAAATCAAATGTCCATCCCTACCTCTAATATATAGTTTGTTTATATTGTGTTTCTATTTTTATATATCATTATCATATATAAAAGTTGATAATAAAAGTATTGTTATATTTACATAAATTTAAAATATTTAGGTATGAATTTTGTTTAAATACATTGTCGATCATAGAATGCCACTTATTAAGTAAAATCAATTGTATTTATTTATTTTTAAATAATGATATTAATTGATTTTATTAAATAAATAAGAAGTATGAACAAAAGTTATAATCTCAAAAAAGAAGATTCTACAAAATTAAAAATAGATTAATTGATCATTTTCCCGAAGACCATAAAAAACAATAATTAATCTCTTAATAATGAAAATAAAACCATACAGGAAATGTTTCAACAAACTAAATCAACTAACTCATAAAAATATTAACGGGGACTCACTTACCAAAATCATATGTACGACGTAAATATCGCTCAAGTAACCTGATATTGTTTAAAGAGTATCGAGTTCAAGTCATTGTATATGTAAAAAATTCTCGTTAAGAGACTCACTCACCGAAACCACGTGTGCGACATATATTAATCAAGGTAAAACCTAGAAACCGATAAGACAAAAAGATAAGAAAAATAAATGATAAAATTATCACTATCGATAGTGAAACAAAATCACCATCAACGTAAACATAATAATGTAGAATAATGCGTTAACAATTGTTTTTATCATAATTTATTTTATCACAAATAAAACAATACAAATCTTAACATCTTTTTATTATTTACATCACAAAATCATATATTTAATTTCTATTTAATATAATTTACATAACATATAAAATTTGAAAATAAGTATAGCTCTTCAAGTTCAAACTTAGACTATTTTAGTCTATGTTTTAAATAAACTTAAATATTTTTTTAAATAATATAAAGTGATTATAAAGTAACATTTATTTATAATCTTACTTAATCATTGATAATATACATACATCATATAGACATAATTATTCGAATTCAAAATCTCAAAGAATAATAACACTACATTTAACCATCGAGATCAATATTTAACAACGTAGTTTTTTTCCCCTACAAATGACCTTAGTTTACCTTTATAAGTCATTAATTAATATTTTAATTGAATAAATAATACATATTAATATGGATTAAAATGGGTTTTAGAGTAAAAAAACCTTTGTCGGTATATCAAATAATAATTCTTAAAAGCAACTATAACTTTAAGATCCTTAAATAAAATGATATATATTAAATAAATTTAAACTCGTAAACTCTAAAATATTACGAAGATGTGGATATTAATTTAACTAAAATCATATTAAAATCTGTACATAAAATAATTTTTGCAACATATTATTTAATTTTCAAGAAATGGAACTTGGAATTTGGACAAAAGACTTAACTTTAGAAGAGATGCAGGCATCAGTGTCCCCATGATTATTGCAAGAGAGCAGTAGCCGACGGGAGGAGACCACCTATTCAATGTCTACTTGGACATGCCCCAGACGTGCTATTGGCTGTCTTCAGCCTCATTTATCTTTCTTTTACCCCTTAAACGACACCTCACTTTCGTTGTCATCTGTAGTTCTGTAGATTCCATATCCTCCCTTGACATCCATCCACGTGGCTTTCTTTTTCTTCCCTCACTTACCCTTCGATTCTCCATTAATCCTAAACTTTTGCCATTTTTACTTTTCTTTTAAGGTAAACTATATTTCTCATCACTCAACTTTCTTTTCAATCATGTTTTGATCACCGAAGTATAAAATTTTTCAATTCAACCACTTAACTTTCAAATTGCTAATTTTTATGTCATTCTACTATTAAATAATTAACAACGTTATGGCATAGAAATTTAAACTAAGATGGTATCTTTTTAAATCCTTACATAAAATCAGAATTTAGATCCAAAATGATATTGTTTTAGATCCCTATAAAAATTTATTTTCTTCTGCTTCCTCCACTCATTTTTGAACCAAACTGATCAAATTTCAGCCACAATATCGATCGCAGTTCTGACCACCAACAACCACTGTCATTAAAGGCCGATAAGTCTCAAAATTTTCCACCAAATTCTTCTCACCCTTTTGAACACGAATTTAATATCTATTTAACTGAAACGTTCCAAGCTCCACAAATCTACTGTCCAACAACTTTATTATGTTGAACCACCACCATTCGGCATCATTTTTTTACCAACAACAATGTTGTTTAACTCATATTTCTTCCTCAACAAGTATTTCAGTTTAGTTTCTCGTAGAAACTCCAAAATAACCTCAAAATTTATCTCAAACTTTCAATATTCTCTTTCATTGTTCTCAATAATCAACTGTCTGATCGTTATATTTTTTAGATGTATTGTTGTCCTCACCAATGTTCGCTTTTTTTCACCGTTGGGATTTTTTATCCGACCACTAAGGCGTTGAGGGCAAAAATGAGATTGATGATTGAAAATGGGTTATTGCGATTAGAGTTTGACTGTGATATAAGTTTTAGAGTTTGATTGTAATTTAAGGTTTAGGATTTAGTTGAGATTTATGTATTCGGGCGAAACAAATGTTGAATTCGTACTCGTGGAATTGAAATTGGTCAATCTAAAAATCTTGGGACTAACGACCATCGACAACGTCGTTTAATGCTGAGATTAGTCTAAAAATCAATAAAAATGCTTATAAATATTTACCATTTCTTCTATATTACCAAAAATTAATTGGTGAATTTAAAATTTTAAACTTCAATAATCAAAATAGGAGTAAGAAGAAAATTGAGCGATGATTTATATAATTTACCATTTCTTTTATATTATCCAACACTCTCTTAATGTAAAGAATATCTTTACAAGCAAACTCTATATAAAATTATTTACCATTTCATTTGTAATCATTATTGAATAAATACTTATAAATAAAATTTTTATATAAAATATTTGTATACTCATAAAAAAACCTACTAATCTAATTAGAAGTCAAACCCATCACGTAAAATAAAATAATTAACATAAATACATAACATATATAGCAATCTCTGACAAAAATCTCTATAATTTCCTACCATTTTGTCCGTTTACTACGTCAAATTAATCCTTCTTATCAACATCATCATCGGATTCCATATTAATCATACGCCAAGGAATCAACTTTATAAAAGAAAAAGGTAAAGAAGACCCTAGTACTTTCCGCACCGTATAATATCCCCATTTAAGCTTTATATATATATATTTATCTTCTCCAACTTCTGGTTGGTATATGAGTTTCCATGTTGGTGTGGATTATTTGTCAACTATGACCATCGTCTTCCCCAAGTCTCTCGTCTTCTTCAAATTAATCGACCCTTGGCCTTGTTCTTCCCTCTTATAATTAGTTTTTTTTTTTTTTGCTTTTCTGGTGTTTTCTTTTTTGTAGCAGAAATATGGGAAGTGGAGACAGAAGCTTTAGGAACTTTCATTTACACTTACCCCACCTACATCATCATCATCAACAACAACATCATCACCATGGGAAGAAGCAATTCAGTGATGTGCCGAAAGGGTGTTTGGCGATCAAGGTGGGATCGGAAGGAGAGAAGCAGCAGAGATTCGTGGTGCCGGTCATGTACTTCAACCATCCTATGTTCATGCAGCTGTTGAAAGAGGCCGAGGAAGAGTACGGGTTCGATCAGAAGGGTACCATCACCATCCCTTGTAATGTACAAGAGTTTAGGAACGTGAGGGGCTTGATTGATAGGGAGAACTCCATTCATCATCATCATCACAACCATCATCATCTTGTTGGGTGCTTTAGGGTTTGATGAACTCTTTTTTGTTTGTTGTGTGATATTCATAAGAACAACAACAAAAAGGAAAGAAAAATGATTAATGGTTTGTAAGAGGCAATCTCAAAGGTGTCCAAAACAATGAAGAATTTGAATTTGATCAATACCTTACGAAAATTAACAAGTTAGTCCAGTTTGTTGATAAACACGAGGATTTAAACTATTGATTTTCGTTAATTCTTTTCGTATAAACGATTAAATCATTGGTTTTCATGACAATAATAAGATGAAAAGATTTAACGATATGTATCCAACTCGAACTTCCATTTTTCGTAAAGTGTGATGGTTGAATTCATATAAATCATAGTAAAGTGACCATCTCATTGATTTTTATAAAGTAGAGGGGTGGAATTCATAGTTTAACATTTTTTTCTTTGTTTTTGATTTCTTGTCCCTTGGTAGAACAGAACCTTAGACGTGGTTGGTTGAAGAGGATGGATCCATGGTGATAAAAGGATGATGCCATGACGACGACAAACGTTGCTTACAAATAATATCAGTTAGCTTTTGTTTTTTTGTTAGGAATTCCGTAATGGAAAAGTAAGAAAGTAAAATGCCTCTTTCCTTTATTTATTCTCTTTCTTTTCTTTTTCTTTTCAGTCTAAAAGAGGAATATATGGATCAATTGGATGGTTAGGTGTTAGAATTGGTAATACGTATGTCATTCTCCAAAAATTATTTTATATATAAATTGTGTACTTTTAATTATATAAGTATAATTATTTTAGTAATAGATATTTTATTTAAAATTTAAAGTTTCAAGATTAAGAGTTATAATTCTAGATTTTGTGATTTATAATTTAGATTTTAGGGTTTATAGTTTACAATTTAGTTTTATAATACTATATAATAGCTCATATATATATATATATATATATATGCGCGCGCGCGCATGAAAATTATTTGATACATAAATTGTGTATAATTTAAATTACACAATCTTATTTATTTGAATGTCACATGTTATATTTAGAGTTTATATCCAAAGTCGATCAAAATTTATAGTTTATGATTTAAAATTTAGAATTTAGAAATCAAATAGACAAGATTATATAATCTAAATTTTATATGATTTATGTATCGGATTATTTATTACATGTCTACATATATAATTTTAAAATCACTATATAATTTTATATATTACTAATGAATTAAATAATAATACATTAATAAATTTATTTTTAAATTTTACAATAATATGTCCATGTCCAGTTCATTGATATTTCGTATCATACTATGATGTTTTAAACATGTTTTGCATCGTTTTTTTTTTATAATGTAATTATTTATTGTGGTGCCTGTTTCTCTTAATGACATTTGGCATCAGTAGGATAGACAAGTGGTATTGGTAGGGTCCTTGGCTGTTGCTTAAGCTTTAAGTACGAAACTTTGGAAATGACCCTGAATCTATTACGGATTTAATTTCATTTATTTGTTCAGTGTTCTATGTTAATTGTAGGACACACGTCGGCCCTTAACAGCAGACAAGGAAAGAGCCTCTCCGGTAACGAACATTTGGGGCCTTGGAGTGCGGTAGATGTTGGGATTAGGCTATTCTACACTGAGTTTAACTGATACCAACATATCAACTTAGGGTATTGAAGAATCTATAGAATACTTAGGTGTATATATCTTATTTAAAATTACGATATCTAATCGATTAATTCGATTGAAGATTGATTTGAATAAATTAAAATTAAATTAATCGATTTTTTATAATTATTAATTAAATTAAATTATTTTAGAAATTTATTAATCGAATCAAATAATATTTGTCATTGATTGAATTAATCGAATTTGTCATAATTTTTTATTAGATTAATTTGGGTTTAGTTTTTTGTTCATATGAATTAAACTTTGATTGAAAGTTTAATGTAGTTACATGTGGAAAAAGAGACATGGTGACCAAGAGATGATCAGAAGGTAAACGACAGTGAATGAAGATGAGAAGCTGTGAAAGAGGCGACTTTGTTTTACTAAATGTGAAAATGAACTACAAAATACTTGAGTCTTCAACCAATTACAAACAATATTTATATAGCACCACCGAAACAAGTTTAACAGCTTGATCTAACAAACTCAACATGTTAAAGAAGAGTGTAGAATCAATCACATGTGGTAAATATATTTTGGAAATAATTGAAAGTTAGGTGGCAGCAACTTTTATTAGTTTTTGGCAGCATGCTAATGAAGCATTTCAACGTGAAGAAGCAACTAGAGCTGAAATATGTCGGCTTGGAATTATTTGAAACGTGGAACTTTTGTGAGCAACAAAACAATTGGAAATTGGAAGCTAATCAAAGTACATCAAGCAAATGACACGGCTAGAAGATTTTAGAAGCAATTTAAGTCGGTTTAAGTCTCCTATAAATATGTGTGTTTTAGGTCCAAGTTATGTGTGAGTAGTGAGAAAAAGAAAAACATACGAGAGAAAAAATTGAGAGAATTGAGAGAGCTTAGCAAAGCTTAAAAATAGTGAGGTTGTGTTTGTAAACTAGCCACAGCTGGTATTGCAGTATTGTAATATTTACGTAGTGTTATTGTAAAATATTTTGTTTCGTATCAATAAAAAGTTTGAGTTATAAATTACCGAGATCCCATCCACGCTTCTAACAAGTGGCCTCAAAGCTTGGTTTGAGTTCAACGTTATGGAGAAGATGACCAACATGATTCAACCTCAAATCCTAAGATTGACAAAGATGAATTACGAAAATTGAAGCATTCAAATGAAGGCGTTACTAGGCTCACAAGATTGTTGGAATATCATCGAGGATGGTTACACCGAGCCTGAAAATGCAGTAACAGAAGCAGCCCTGGCCAATGAAGAAAAGAAGGTATTGAAGGAATCCTGGAAAAAAGACAAAAGAGCGTTGTTCTTTATTTTTCAAGGAGTAGATGAATCTACCTTTGAAAAAATTTCTGATGCGAAGACTGCAAAACAAGCGTGGGAGATTTTGCAAAAAATCTCTGCAAGGTGCCGAAAAAGCAAAAAAGGTACGCTTACAAACTCTCCGAGCTGAGTTTGAGATGTTAAAAATGAAAAATACAGAAAACATAGATGATTATATTAGCCGTGTGAAAGCAGTCGTAAATGAAAAGAAATGGCGAATCACTCGACGATGTTAGAGTGATGGAAAAAATTTTACGGTCATTGACAAGAAAATTCGATTACGTGGTGGTGGCAATCGAAGAATCGAAAGATTTATCTCTGATATCGATTGATCAGCTTGTGGGTTCACTTCAAGCCCATGAGCAGAAAATAAAACAAAATGAAGATTCATAAAATTTGGAGCAAGCTCTACAAAGCAAGATGAATGTCAACGAATGAGAAGCTAGCAACAGCTACACACGAGGTCGAGGAAATCGTTGTGGTTATCATGGAAGATACAGAGGAGGATGAGGAACTCGTGGACGTGGTGGTCGATATGGCACCAATCAAATAAGTGGAAACAATCCAACATCAGGTCGTGGACGAGGATTCCGAGGCAGAGGTAGGGGAAGATATCAACATGAAAATAAATCCCAGGTACAATGTTATAATTGCAATAAGTATGGTCATTATAGTTATGAGTGTAGATCTGCTCCTAAACAAGAAGAAAGAAATAACGTAACAGCAGCTGAAGAAGAAAAAATTGAAAAATTTCATGTATTCCTCACTTATAAAGGAAATGAGGAATTCAAGAAAAATATTTGGTATCTTGATAATTGTGCCAGCAACCATATGTGTGGTAAAAGGGAACTGTTTGTGAAATTAGATGAAACAATCCATGGACGAGTAACATTCGGAGATGACTCGCACGTAGAAATAAAAGGAAAAGGCGAAGTCATGATTACTTAGAGAAATGGAGAAAAGAAATACATTTCAGATGTTTATTATGTACCTGCTTTGAAAAGCAATATCATCAATCTTGGTCAACTCCTGGAAAAAGGATATGAAGTGCAGATGAAGAATCGCTCGCTTGCCATCAAAAATAAAGAAGGAGAATTGATAGCCCAAGCTGCTATGACTCGAAATCGTCTCTTTACAATTGATATCGAGTCGGGAGAAGTCAAGTGCATGAAGACCGCGATCAAAGATGATTCATGGCTGTGACATCTAAGATATGGACATCTTGAATTTTCTGGTTTGAAGCTGTTATCAAAAACAAACATGGTGAAAAGACTACCAGAGATCAACCCTCCAAATTAATTATGTGAGGCTTGCATCAAAGGAAAACAACATAGACAAAGCTTTGAAGTTGGTAGATCCTGCCGTGCCCAAAGACCGCTGGAGATAGTACACACAGATATGGCTGGTCCTTTTGATATATCATCGCTTGGCGGTAACAGGTACTACCTAACTTTTATTGATGATTTTAACATGAAATATTGGATTTACATCTTGAAAGAAAAGGCAGAAGCGCTGGAAAAATTGAAAGAATTTAAAGTAATGGCGGAAAAACAAAGCGATTAATATTTGAAGATACTCAGATCAGATAGAGGAGGCGAATATACATCAAAATTATTTGAAGAATTCTGCAAAGAGCATAACGTCATCCATCAGCTGACAGCCAAATACACGCCACAACAAAATGGAGTTGCAGAAAGAAAGAACCGCACAATCCTGGACATGGCAAGAAGCATGATAAAAGGCAAGCAAAACCGAGAAATTTCTGGGCTGAAGCAGTTCGATGTGCAATTTATCTCTTGAACAGATGTCCAACAAAAAGCGTAAAGTATATGATGCCAAACGAAGCATGGAATGGACAGAAACCAGGAGTTGGGCACCTCAAGATTTTTGGATGCATCGCATATACCCACGTTCCTGAACAGACAAGAAAGAAGCTTAATGACAGAGGAGAAAAATACATTTTCATTGGCTATGATGAAAGAAGTTGTTGAAAACATTTTGATATTTCGATATAACAAATTAAGTTAAATGAATTTTAAGATTTTCCAAAAAGATTTTCTAAGTATATTCGATATAATTATTCGAATATCAAAATATTACTCCAAATCTTTCAAATGT